TATTTAATTATAAAGTAAAATAACTAAAAATTAATTAATTAAAATATTTTATTTATTTAAAGTTTTATTAAAAATTTTAATAAATCTTTTTAGTAGTAAATAGGATCCGTATTAATTGCTTTATTTGTGCCGAGCGTGCCGGAAATAAATGTAAGAGCGGAAAGTAGGGTTAAGAATTGCATGTTGGATAGATAGATAGATAGATGCACGGAACTGATACCTTGTTAGGTTCACGTATGCAAGCAAGGTGGCCAGGTGCCAAAAATGAGACAGGGAAAAGATGATGCCCCTTACCCTTGTTTCGATTCGGTGCGACCTCGCAAGACAGGCAGGATATCTTGTAGGTAACACCAGACTGTTGAATAGGGCAAGACGGTTGAAATATATAGTTGTCTGGTGGCAAACCAAAACCATCGCTCTCTAATTGCCAGCGCAAGCGTCAAAAAATCCCTCTCGGAACTCGACCGATGTTGATTGAGCGACCCCTCTAGCATGCCCTTACTAGTCACTAACTTATTTACCAATCAATGTGGACCGATTAATATCGTCGAGAAAGTGTGCTTGGTCAAAATAGCACGCTCGGTATGTGGCGAATGAAGTCTTTCCTTAAGGAGGGGGAGATGACAAGACAAGCGGTGCTCGCCTCTGGGAGTGGTCATGGTACTCCGTAGTGGAAGTATACATCTGTCTGTCCACATCCTCCGTGCGGTTTACTGTTGTCTTGAAGTTGTCCTGGAACCCGCAACTAGCGCCACCAGAAGTCTCATATTTAGGGTAAGGCGTCGCTCTTTCGGTTGAATCCTGGTAGTGATATCCGGTTTCCAAACAAGGGTTGAACTGACCTCGCCAAACACAGCTTACTTTTCTGTGTAGCTTTCGGCTGAAAGACTAAGCTCACGGCATGCGGTTTGAGCTGCCGGTAGTTGCGGGCAGCGGATGACTTGGGCCTGCTGACTTCTTCCTTTCAAGTCTCACCGCAACTCGCTGCAGCCAGGTGGCAGCTTGTGTTACCACGCAGAGAGACATGGCAGCCATGTAGTGGTAATCCAAAGAGCAGGGTGTCAGACAAGTTGGATGAGCGGCAGTTAAGTTGGTGAGGATCCAAAGGCAGCCCAAACTGGTCACTAAGGGACAAATATGATTGGCCCACGGGGTAGAAGAAAGACCTTGATTTCACTTTGTTCCTTAAGGCATTAGCGCCGGATCCGAGTCATGTTTTTATGCAGCCAGATTTGATGGTACTTCACGTACACTCGAGAGAACTACTCCGTGCTCTCAAACGCGGCCTTCCCGAGGTGTAATTAGATTAGATTTTCTGGTTGGGAAGCTGCATGTTTTAGATTAGTAACGCTACGTTTACTGGTCTAGTATAGTTGTGGCTGTTGTCTGGAGTGTGTGAGATAACTGCTACTATACCAAGTACAAATCGTATATTAGAATTGATTGAAATGCAGTTCAAGGTTTGGCTCTTCTCTCCGCATAACTATAATGGAACGGCCCCACTTTAGGATTTAGATAGCTCGAGGAGAATGTGTCACTATTTATGCCTAGCACAGTAACTGGACTGGACTAGTTGCCCTATTGGAGGTGACACCACCGGGCGTAATAAATTGTGAGTAACTGGACTATTAGGTTCGTTCTCTGGCTATGAAGAATAACTTAAATTTAGCTGCTTACCTGTAGTTCTGGCAAGCTGTCCTACGCGGAACTGGGCATTCAGCTACTTTGCGACCTGCATGAGGATAAAACTAGCTTCTTCATGATAGAGATGAGGTGTACTAAGGTGCGCACATGAGAAGCACTTGACCTGCTGTGATTTTCAAGTTCTGTTTGTATCGACCCCTCATCCCTGTAGCCTGCTTCCGGGCATTCCCAAAACCATAAAAATCCATGTCGTCAAGTGTGATGAATCAAAGGGAGGCTACAACACAGAAAGTTATTGCATCTTTGAGAAGGCCATGCTCAATTAGCCACTGGTTCTACCGCGTACGCCATGCTACACAGAATCCTCGGCAAACTCTATCCCTGCAGATTGAGGAGACATCAACTAGTCAAAACAAGTACAGCGCCATGCATTGCAACAAAAAGCCAGACACAAATATCCGAAACCGCCTATCATCCCTTACTGCAGCCTTGGTGGCTGAATTCGTAGAACCTTTTAGAAAGCGAAGTTTACGGTTAGCATATTATATTTATTATTGATGATTTGCCAAGTTAAGATTTCTTAAATGTAACGCTACAATTAAAGTTGCATGCTACTTGCCACTAACACCCCCTCCCGCGCCCCAGGTTCTTCTTTAGGCTAATACTGTATTAACAAAATGCTAAATATAGTGTTTTAGTGTTTTACACGTCTGGAATCGTGTTTCTTGAAAAGCTATATCACATAATAGTGGTGTCACAGCACCAAGGTGCCGATTGTACGTAGGTCTTAGACTTTCTATTTCTCGTCAGATATCAGAAGTTGTTCTGATATACTCTTGATTCAGGCATGTAAAACATAACATTATAGTGGCTGTTCTTCTACTACGAGTAAGACGAAATAGGAAACTGTAGCCAGCCACTAAATGCCTTGCCAAATAATTTTTCCTTGTGGATATTTATCCCAAGTCACTTCTACTCCCGGGTTACTATTTCGTTACCTTTGCTTAGTTATTTCCTACGTCCCGCGTCTTGAGCATATTGTAAATATATATAAACGTAAAATGCTGTCTTTAGAACAAAAGTTAACTCTCACTTGCATTTCACTACTTTTGTTACGTATAGCTTTCCAAGTCTATCAAGTTTTTCTATACTACGGAATAAATTACTTTACTTAAAAAAATGTCAGATTATAAGATTCAGTAGACTCAATTCTATGGTAGACAAAGCGGGGATCATTTTTCTCTCTACCCAGACAATCCTTCTAATGTGAAAGTTATAGAAAATATGGGCTGGCTGGGGAACTGGTAATGCAGAGGGAAAGTGGGTTCTTAAAGGTATTAAACTTACATGGTTTAATAAGGAAGAGAAGAAACTCTATAATTATCCTTAATCTGACGACGACCATTTCAGATATAAGTTCTCACCAGATGAGAAAGCTCTGTGTTTTATACGATATAGGTGGCGTATCGACAGGTTTGAATTTACTATAAGTAAAGGAAATATCTTTATTGCAGGGGGTACCGGCGGCGATCGCTTCTTAAATATTATAAACGGCTTAATTATAGGATTTGAGGGAAACTCAGGCTGGGAAATTGACTATCTCAGCATGAGATACGAACCACTCTACTCCGACAATCATGTTACGGTGAGTATAATAGTATGCCGACGAGTGATATATTACTAATTAATATCTTTAGTAAATTAGTCCTGGAGGCAGTTATTATATCTGAACACCTAGCCTTGGTATAGGTTTTTATCCCTCATCTTTAGCTTCAGGGTTTTCCCTATATTATAATGCAAATGCAAAGGCACTTATTTCTTACTTAATTCAACTGGCGCATTTCCTGCTCCTATAGCCGATGTCTTGTGATCCAATATTTATATAGCACCCTAGTATTGCTCAAAAGAAGGGTTATATATAGAAGGGTCGCGCTTTTAGCAAACTGCAGACCTCGGCGAGAGAGGGCCCTGCGGTGGTCTGCAGTTGCTCTTAAACACCAGGCTAGATATCTCACATGTTTAGGCTCCCTTATTGGAGAACACGCGCCATCTCCATTTAGGAGGTCTGAAGCCCCTAAGCCATTATTCACTTCTGGATCCCTTCTCAATCCCTGGTCCTTAGTCTCGCGGTGTTATAGTTCGTCTCCAGCTATCTATCATCGACTTTGGAGTTCTCTTATAGCATATTGATAGAGGATTAAGCTTGACCCATAAAGCAAAGGCTAGGTTGCCGTCCCCTGTCGAATCCGCTAGGCAGTACTGCAGTCGTAGGCATGGCAATTCGTTCGGGTCGTGTACAGCTACCAATCTCTTCCCAGGCTCTTTCAATAGAGAGCCTCGTTGATGCCCACCTGCGGTTTGTCAAATTCGGTGTAGAGTCATCGTTGTGAGACAGCATGGCCGTGTTGTCGGCGGGTGGTTTTGTGTGTTCCACAATAATCCCAACATGTCTTGTCACATAGTTGCATATGTATGATTGAGACGTTAGCCCCTCGATCAACTAAAGTCACCTTGTTTATAGACACCACCGCATGGCAAAATCCGGGAAGTAGATTTGAAATTACTCTACTCCGCAGTACACGGTGGAAATGGATTGGCCAGTAGCACTGGCTCAACACGCACGCCATCATCTCGGTATTCGCGCCACTGGCACCGACGTGGGTTGGTATCTAACTCATCGCACTTCACCTCGGCCGGAAAGTTTGGTGATTTAGAAAACTGCCTCCATAGGTATCAGCACGGCTGGAACGTCCTGCAGACCATCCTTGAAGAGCTTCGATTTGCTCTGATAGCGGTAATACATGGAACGGCCGCCAATGCCCAAAACGCCCCTGCCCAGCTCGTCCTCGGCCTTGGAAACAAGTTAGTGTACAATTCTGGCAGCTCGGGATTTGAACGCGATGGAAAGCTTGACCTACGCGTGCTTGGCGAGGTTGACCGAGGCGATGAGAGCACTAAAGAAGAAAGTATTGGCGACACGCTCAAAAAGGCAACGTCTCTTGCGGAGGCGGCTGCCGCTGTGGAGTTGAGCTTGAGGAAACAAATTGCCATTTCTATCGGCGTTTATTCTGACGAGGTGGATGTTCAACGACCTCTGTCTGAGTTTGGCGGCAAGTATTGGTTTGCTATGATGAGTTGCCAACCCCGTACTGACTGGATGTAGTTACTCCTTGGCGGCCGTCGAGATTAGCAACAGGACTCTCAAGGAGATGAGGAGCGAAATTTCAGTGTTTGAACTGTTAAGCCCTACGCCAATGGCATATTTGGCAGTCAAGATTGCATCGCGATGTGAGCTTCCCTCAGATGCGAGACTTAAGATAATAATATCAGTGCATTTTCTGTTTAAAGTGATCGTTAAGGACTAGTACTAAATACATAGCACAGTACTAAGTTTATGCAATATTCTGTCACAGAGTGTAGCTCATGCCAGCCTGGTGATTAGACAGCGCTGAACGACATCAAGTATAATCAGATCAAACTAGCACATTCGGCGAGCTCTGTCCCACAATCAAGGTAAGCCTCATCGCCTCATCATCTAGGACGGTTCATGAATCTGCGCGGGGCGCTCTGCCATTGAGTCCTTCCGCAAAGACGGTTTCATCCAGAGCGGCGATCTATACAGCACGACATATTCCGGGTTGTCGTAATCTTTCGTAAGCAGTTCCCAATCAAACTTCCACAACAGCTTTGTGAGGATTAATCTCATCTCCACCATGGCGATATATCGGCCGATGCACGTCCGAGGGCCAACTCCAAAGGGTTGGAATGCATCCAGATGGTCACCCAAGTTCCTCAACCACCTCTCGGGAATCCATTCCTTGGGTTTATGGAAGGCATCTTTGTGCTGAAAGACAGACAGTCGCATGACGCCAACTTCTGTGCCTCCAGGAACTACATGGCCAGCGACGACAATCGGAGCATCAGTCCGACGCCACATGGGGCCAGGCAGAACCGGGTTGGTTCTCATGGATTCATTCAACACCGCGTCGATCATGGGGATTTTGCTCGCAACGTCCCTCGAAGTAATGTCCTCGCAGGAAGCAAACGTCGATCGGACTTGATCTTGTAGCTCTGCCAACACTTTCGTGTTTCGCCCCAGATTCCACATGGTGACTGTCAAGGCGGTTGCCACTGTATCTCCGCCGCCCGTAACGAGGGTAGTGGCTTCTCCGAGCATTTCGTTATTGTCCATTCTCAGATTGTCATCCTTGACATTGGCCGTCCCGTCGACAATGATACTCATGATGTCGTTTCGATCCGTGGCGACTCCATCACGGTCGCGTTGAGCGCGCTGGCGCATGTGCCGAGCGGCAAAATCGGCCACCCCTGTAAATGTCTTTGGTACAATGAATGGGGGCCCGTGTCGAAATAAAAACGACAGCAGCCGGAATATCTCGGGGATGCACTGCGCAATGACAGACATGCGGAGTGCATTGGGCAGGACGTGAAGAAACGGGTGCGACACTGGATCTTGCATCATTCCAAAGTCGGCGCCAAACGACAAGAGCCCAATGATGTCTGAAGTCACGCAATCAAAGTAATTCGACATGTTGATCTTGGTCCCTGCCTTGGCTGCAACCGCGTCCACCAGCTTGTTCACCAGTGGTACGACAAGCGCAGGTTCTTGCTTGGCGAGCGTCACGTTGGAGAAGCCGGGGTTCATGAGCTTTCGTTTCCTCTTGTGGGCAGCGGGATCTCTGATGTTGCTGACATTCTGTGACGTGAAGCCAATGACTCGAAGGGCGAAATCGCCTCGGTACACATCATGGCGTCCTATGATGTCTTTGAGAGATTGGGGTGTTCGAAAGACGAGTTGGTTGGGTGCTACGCGGAGCACATCGGATTTATAGTGGTCGAAGAGTCGTTCGCAGTGTTGAGGAAATGTACCGTGGTATATCCAGTATAGAAAATACAACGAAGAGCAGGCTGCGATTCTGGGACCGGGGAACCGGCGTAATGGGTGGAATTTGAGGCGATATATTGATTGGCCAATCCATGCCTGTGAAGGGGTATCGTTAGTATGTATAATCTTGTACTTGACAACTTGTATCGGACGTACGATTGTTGCGAATAGAAGCCATTGATACCAAGTCAATAGCCTCATGTGCTTGATTGTGTCGGACTGCCACATATCTTTCAATTGTAACAATGCCATGTTGGTAGGTAATGGAACAATGTGAAGATATTTGTAAAATTTTCTTGAGATCCAAGTGTCTTCTCTTTAATGAATAAGGAGAAGTAGCTTATGTAATAATTTAATTAAATACGGAGTCTATAGCAGTCTATAGCGGTATATATAGAATTTCACTTGTTGGACCCTCGTGGAGACTGAGGAGTGAACCATTCCGACAGCCATATCATCAGGCTCTCTGTATCAACCGTGTCTTGGTTTGAAAGCGCGGTCCCCTGATAATCCATGGCCTGTGAAGATAGCGGGCGCCTATCACTGAGAAATGAAATTGGCTATATTCGATTACAGCATGCCACGGCGCTTATTCTCGATGCCACACCCTGCGGAAACAACCTTGTCGATTCAGCAAAGCATCTGTCTTGTTGTATTCACAATTTCACACCATCTCCGGATCATGGGGCATGGATCTGATGGCGCTTTGCTCTCATGAATTAGCCTGTGATTTGGACCTGCAACCGTCGCAAGATAGAAAACCTGGGGAAGTGGAGGGTACTTGGGTGGTATTCCATGGAGGTGGCGCAACAGGGGTGGCGTACTACTGTAGGTCCAAGATGCATAAAATCGAGTTCGTCTGGTATTATCTTGTCCTTGTGGTGGATCAGGAAACCTTGCTCCGGACTTGAGCGCGGTAATGATAGTACAAGGATAGTTGCGACGGTTAATTCATAAGCGTCCCTCCACTGGTTGGCGATAAGCTATGGATCAGCTATCGCTCTCTGCTCCTAAATAATACAGGAAGGCACTGCCTTGTATGAAGTGACTTGATGTATTCCCAAATTCTACACTACTATCCGCCACGTTCTTTTTTTTTTGCACACGACCTGCTGGTCTTTGACAATGGTAATACAGATATTATTTGGGAACAAATCACAAGGGAACAGCTCCTTGCAGAGTAATTCTAACGGGAATACTATAAGATGTGCCCATAAAGTCTTGACCAACGATGCCCTTGTCCTCTATGAAAGTTCTTGGTAGCATTGACTCATCAACGCCACAGCTGTAGCGGCGGCGCAAATTCTGGGTGCCGTGAAACCGCGGAGCGCGGTCTATACAAAAGCCCAGGAAGCTAATGCATCCGGAGACCGGTTCAGCATACCACTGAGAAAGATGGTCCCAAAGTGCCGGAATTCCGGCACATGACATGGTACACGAGGTAGCAGAGGTCTGTTTCCTGATTGGATGCCCTGCGGTGTAACTTGTCTGCAAGTCAATATTTGTTCCGCGTATCCCGAAGCCGCTAGCACCCGTTTAACGCCGGTCGCTCACATTGGAGACCAGACATTTGGAGCTTCATGTAGCCCCGGCACCATCCTGTAATTGTTTTTTTGAGCGAGAGTCAGATCTTCCACATGCCAGTGTTTGCACGGGTTCATCCCAAGTTCGGGAGATATTGAAACCCAATCGGGAAACTGCACATGTGTTCTCGGACCTGCAACCAATCGGACTCGTGCGTTCGGTATCGGCCGCACACTCTCCCCCGTCTTTACGTATGTCGAGATCAACTGTCAAGGCCAAAGGGAGAGGGGGGGAGTCAAAATCTGCATACTTATCAGCTGCATATCGGGGATATTTGGTCATGGGCCGCCATGACAGCAAGTGTCCGGAAGTGAATCCCCTGAGCCTCCAAACCTGGGTTTCCGTGATAGGTAAGCTGTGCGTTGGGTTTGGACTTTGCTAGTCTGGCCAGGCGATATAACATGTTTGCTACCTCGAGTCTGTTGTGAAAGATGGCAGACCTTTTGTTTCCGCCTTTTCCGGATATTGCCATAGCTCAGCCAATGTTGCAAGTAACGTGACTGCAGTCTTGGACTCTTGCTCTGGGTTCAGTATGCTCGCATCGCTCTTCACCACGGGCGAGATTCTGAATAACCGGATCCCCGTACCGCTTCTTTGAAGCCTCCAATAAACCACCTACCTGGATAGACATTGGGTTTGGTGGTCATACAACTCTTTTTGGATAGCAAGACTTCCCTTTGACCAACCGAGCCAAGACCAAGTCGGAAATCCATGTCCAAGTCAATGCTCGTCGAGAATACGTGCGTGCGGCTTCCCAATAGATATTTTCACCATGGGCAGCTCGTCCTCTCAACGATTCCCACGCGATTGAGAAGGGGGCAGGTCTGGGATATAAGGCGTACTGCTGCGGCGAGTTTTCGAAATCTTCAAAAGCCAAATATTCTCTCCATGTCTGCCCTCGGCAATGAAAAATAACTTTGCCGTGATAGAAGATGCTCTGCATTTTGAGAAGAAGTATTCATTATAGCTATGTGCAAGTCAGAGGGTTTCGTTGTTATGAGGTAGTGTCAGGTACGTCCAAGCCCGGCTCGCGCAGATATCCTTTAAAAGGTTGGTATGTGTGGGAGCATAAATAAGTCTCAAGTCCTGACCTACATCAGCAAGCCGTTGTTTAGACTTCCTAGGGGTTATTCCAATTCCAGGGAGCCCACTGTCAGAGTCCGACACTGACGCAGCAATAAGAGTCACGAATGCATTCCCATATACCAGGTCCATCTCGTGGATGATTCTGGACTTGAATTATTCTTCATCTTGCACGACACAGAGACAGTCGATCCAACTATACCTCTGGTTAAATTGCTTCCTAAAAGTAATGGCGTCCTTAATGGTCCGGCGAAGGTTTGGGAAAATCTTGGAGAGTCCTCTAGGCCGTTGAATTGCTTGAACTGGCCTTCTGTAAGCACAACGACTTTGCTTTCCTCTATATATAGCTTAAGGCTAGGTATTCGTCTGTTGTTATACCAGTAACATATTCCTTATCAATAACAGTCAGCATTATCGGTTTAATTTCTTGAAATCGGAGTGTCTTTGACTGACCACAGTCTTGTCCATGATGAATTTGCCTCGACGGCGGCGAACTCGAATACAGAGAAGCTCGCTGATCTACCGTTTTTGCGGAGACTGACCATGTTGCGACCACTGCTATGGGAACTATGCCGTGCAAAATGGAAATCATGTCTGTTGTGTGACGTAGAAGAGGCCAAGATTGCAGAGGCATCTTCTGGCATCTTCCTTCTCAACACGCAAGCGTCTAGGAATCTGCTTGGTATTCAGGACAGAAGCTGAAGACGCAAGCCCGGCAAGCAGTTGGGCGACAGCCATGTGGCCTCCCCAGTTCGCCCAACACAGCGGCGTCCGGCCACCGTTTACTTTTCCCTCAACCAAACAGTCGCCATACGTCAGATGACCATCGCAGCGCCTTCATTGAGCAGCAGTTGCATTTCTCATGGCCTGCAAAGTCAGCAAATGATAATGGTGTTCGGCGTTGCTTTTTATCCTTGGATTGGATGTTGGCTCCATTATTTCATATGAAACTGAAACTCACCTCAGTTTTAGTTTTATACTGTGTCTATATAGCACTGGCACTAGATACGAGAAAGAATTCACAGCCAGCACGGTAGAACTCCTTGTTTGCATGGATTCCGCATGAGCTAGATAAAAGAAGGAGTATTACACGAGGCAATCCGTTGGTTGTAAATTACGAAACCAATGCCAAGTATTCTTAAATAAGCAGTTACAGAGACGTACACAGACTATAGAGTCTATCACGATGAACTATTCCATGGTTCACGGCTTCACGGCTTCACGGCTTCGGCCGTACGACCAGCGCAAGATATCACCCTAGTCCTCAGCTTTTCAAGTATAACGCCCAGTATAATCGGACGGTTTGAGCTTAAAATTCCTTTAAAGAACTCTATACAACGGCCTCAGCTATCTTGAATCCTTTAAAGTATCCTGTAAGGTGTTATTCCTACGACTAGCATTATATATTAGCTTTCCGCTAACAAAGGTCGTCGCTATTCATAGATAGGAACTTACACAATAACCAGTGTCAGTAACCCGACGATCAGGGACACAATTTCCATAACAGCAAATACCAATAGAACCCCCAATACTTTCGCAAAGGGCTCCTCTTGGAAGACAGTCTAGTCGCCCGATTTCTCTATCCCATAAAGGGTTCGCCATACCTAACTGGGCTAATCCAGTTATAATAGCAGTTGAAATCTTCATGTTTCTGAGGAAGTGCCTGATATAAAATGCTCAACTCTAGATAGGGATAATATCAGGGTTTCGCCGTAAGCCCTAATATAACGCTAGGGTTTAATATTAACGTGACAATAATATGGTAATCTAGTTGAGTCTGCTGTCCATGCTAGCTTATAAGGATGGGGTCGTCATTTCTTATACTTGTCAATAACGCTAAGTATATGGTGCGGACTAGTTGAAGACGAAAATCATGCCAGGCCCACCCCGAGAGAGCCGGTGCAATCAGTGCAACGTCAGGAGCCAACAATCATCGTCCAAAAAACTAGAAAATCGCACCCTCTAGGTGTCTTGAGTAAATGACGTAGTAAAGGCAAATTTAGCGGTGCATTCCCTATCTCTGGGTGCTTTTGAGTTTCTACCAGTTAAAGTAAAATTTCCGGAAAACTTTTGACTTGTGGCGTATTCTAGCTCTCAATTTTATTAATAAATATCCACTATCGTAGGCACATAACGAGTACGGAGTAGAACACCCTGAACTACTTTTGTGCAAAGCTTAAACAAGAAAAAGCCACAACAAAAAAATAGAGTTCATCTTTACAAGATTATAGCTATTATCTTTATCAGACATTTCTACAGTAGTCTGGCAAGTGCGCGCATTATAGCCGGGCTTGCCGTATCTACCACATCTCCGGGCTTTTGTCCTATTAATTAGCTTCCTGTACTTTAAGGGAACAGCCCTACTTTTAAAACTCAAATACGTCGACTCAGAGCTCTTACTCTTCTTGCGAATAATCGCTTTATCCAAGTTGTACTCGACTTTATTCGTGCTCTTGTCCCGTTACAACTTTAGTTGTTAGTTAAATTTATATTAAATTTCGACAATAATATAGTGTTCGTGGAGGTTTGCTATTTATAGTTTAAACTAAAGAAGAGGAAGCTAGACTCTTATAGAATTATAACACCTTGTCTTACTAGTATTTGTTTTTATTAGTTAATTAATAAAATAAATATAAAATGAAAAATTATATAATATAAAGTTGTCCTTTACTTACTAACCCTTTTATTTTCCGGCGCTAGACTTATTAGATAAT